CTGACTCCAAGAGACCAGAGGACGTCAACACCAACACGGCTACCAATCTCGATGGCAGTGCGACTGGGCATAAGTTGCTCGTTGAGCCTAGTGTGTTCAACATGGGCATACTATTACCGCCATCATTAGACTTCCTTAACCGGCTCAAGGAGGTTGTACCCTCGAACGCTGACATTAGCATGAGCACTTTGACCTCATTCTTGGACGATTTCCTCGTCAACGTCTTCCATCCGCAGCTCGATGAGACCCTTATCGAGTTATGTTCTCAGACCTTCATCGAGGTTGACTCATTCAACGAGGACACTCAATGGTCGAAACACTCCAAGAAGCCCATTTTCAAGGTACGTTCTCCATTCGTCATATGCTACTCTTGCTAATTCAACAGGGTACTGCACAATTCTTCACACTCATCACAGCTTTCTGCAAGATGCTGGATAACCTTCCCCATGACCAAGCGTTCTCCCAACTCATCGTCAATCAAATGGACACATACGCTCAGAAGTGCACTGGCTGGTATAAAGCCCTCGTCAGTCGATCACAGGCTACAGCAAGTGGTCGTCTAATGAAGGCTCCTGCCGTATGGTCAGAGTCTGAAGCAATGGAAGACCTCATCGCCCACCTGGTGCGAATAGACTCGTCCGACCAAGAGAGCTTGAACAAAGCCGTCGAAAGTGAAGTTGCTCTTTTGATCGAAGCAGTCGAAGCCGATGAGCCTCTAGATCAAGCAGACATGATACAGGACAAGAAGAGTATCGTTAGTTTATGTTTGCTGTACACAAGCATGAAGTGGCTGGCCACCAAGACCGCCCAACTTCGGCATATTAGTGATCGTGCCTCTGACCCGATCAACGCTGAGTCGAGTGGCCAGAGGCACAATAGACGGTGGACGCAGCTCTCCTCTGCCGATCCCAGGCCACAGAGCGCTCATATCTACCTCCCATTGAGCGCAGATACAGCCGCGTAAGTGTCTTGATATCCATGAAAGCCGTTTCTTACTAATGGACGAGCAGTATCTTCGACGCAGTAGTAGGAACCTACCAAGCCCTCAGCACGCGCGTACTCCGTACCCTGCACCTCTCCATCCGATCAACAATCCTGTACTCGCTCAACGCAAGCATCCAGCCCAACATCTACATCGACACTCTACTAAGCGACCCGGACCCCGCCATCCTAGCTCTAAACGCCACGCTCGTCTCCTTCGACACCGAAGTATCAACCTACATACCCACCGCGTCATACATGCACATCACACGCGGCCTCGCCACCCTAATGGACACCTACCTCCTCAACCTCTGCACCTCCAAAATCACACGCATGAACACCAACGGCTGCGCGCTGATGCAACTCAACATCCTCGTCCTGCAGCAGAACCTCAAGAACATCGAAGACGGCGCCACCCTACCCTACGCAGCCCTCTTCTTCGATCTCTTCACCGCAGGCCCAGACGCGATTATCGCTCGGGCCAAAGACTACGGTAAAGGCTTCGGGGTTCCGCGCAAAGTGTTTGGTGAAGAGGAAGTGAAGAGGTTGTTGCAGATGACGTATGAGGAGAAGTTGAATGCGGAGAATAGGGAGGCTAGTGTGCAGGCGAAGAGGGCGTTGGATGCGCAGTTGTTGGAGATTAGTGAGTTTATGTATTAGATATGCGCTGCTTCGAGTCTCCTGGGCCATTCTGTTGGTTGGCGGCGGTTCTGTTCAGGAAAGGCTGTTGTAGCTGTAGTATCACCTTGGCTATAGTGGCGAATTCAAACATGACTTTTATCTTTAGCCCGCACACAGCAATAGATCTGACATGTCAGCACGTTTTGGGAACTCGTGCAGCAGCATACATAGCCAAGACGGCGCCCGGGGCCGTACCCACTCCAAATCGTTGCAATCGAATCATCAGGAGCGCGAATACAAAAAGATGCGCCTGGGGTCATGCAAGCCCGCTGAGTCGCTTAGATCTACGCCCCTGTCATCTTCGGCGACGTTGTACGCGCACGGACGCCGCCTCGTGCGACGTCGCCGAACTGCTCATAAGGCTGGCCCAGTCATAGGGCTTCAGCTACGCCGCGGAACAGCGCGTTTTGCTGACATGATGTGGTATGATGGTTTTGTGGGAGGCTTTCACCGCTTTGTTATCGGGATGGATGTACAGGCGTTCTGCAAGAGAGTGTAACGCTGTCGAGGTGCGTGCTGGACCGAATCTATTGTCACAGGAAAGAACTGGAGTAGGTAGGAGTAGGCATGAAGCTACGCCGCACCGCACTGCAAGGAGACCTTCCAATAAGACCCCGAATCCGGCGTCTAATACTCAAACATACTGCATCCTGCATCCCAATCTTGTACGAGCGAATCACAAACACAACACCCACATACCATTCATCATCGCTTCTGCACGCCACGCTTTCATCACCCACACTCGCTTAGAACCGTTCGATACAGGCGTGCAGATACCCGTTGGAAGACAGCTTCCAGCCACAAGATTATGCTGATCTCACTTGATGATGGTGTAAGGGTGTTTCCTACCTGAGGTGTGCATGCATGTGAGGTGGCAGATCTCAGCGCCGCATATCGCAGATTTCAGGCCACCCCTTGCGGTGACCTGGATTGATTGTTGTCGCCGATGACAGTTTGTGATATCGGACCGTCGGGGTCTTCGCAGCGGGCTGTGGGTTGTCGGGGTCTGGGGCGTGAGTGTATCGGAGGGGGCAGACGCATGTTATATGCTTGCGGGCTACCCTTTCTTTGTTGGATTGTACTTGGCTAGCTCTTACGGATTTCGTGCGCAATAAGTGTACCTTCACTTAGATTCCCACCCAAAACAAAGGTATCACGAAGCATTTGATCAGGTTCGCGAGTTCAGTCATGTCTTCGGCTAGTACTGCGGAGGACGTGGAGAAGGCTGCTTCGGGCACTGACTATGCGCATCTAACCAACGATGAAGTCAAGAGCTTCAGCTGGGAGAACATCACTGTCACGGTCAAAGATAGGACGTCTAAACAGCCAATTGATCTCCTATCCAACGTGAGCGGCATGATCGAAGCCGGAGAGATGATGGCATTGATGGGTCCAAGGTACGTTCAGAGTATCCCAGCCTCATATACAGATACCTAACGAAAGTGACACAGTGGCTCCGGTAAAACGACTCTCCTCAACATCCTCGCCCACCGAGCCGCCATACCCAAAGCCACCATCCAACAAACACTTCGAGTCAACGGCGCGCCAACAACCCTATCCTCCTTCCGCAAACTAAGCAGCTACGTCGAGCAAGAAGACGACCTAATCGGGTCCCTCACCGTCCGCGAAACACTCTACTTCGCCGCTCAGCTCGCCCTCCCAAGGTAATCGGCATGGCCCCCTCCCTATCCCAAAGCATTCTAACTCACCACCCCTAGTTCCATCCCCCCCTCCTCCCGCAAAACCCTCATAACCTCCCTCCTTTCTTCCTTCGGCCTAACCCCCCAATCCGCCACACTAATCGGCACGCCCATCCGCAAAGGCGTGTCCGGCGGCCAAAAACGGCGTGTCAGCGTCGCCAGCCAACTCATCACTAGCCCCAGAATCCTATTCTTGGATGAACCGACCAGTGGCCTGGATTCGGCGGCAGCCTACGAAGTCATCAAGTTTGTACGCGATATAGCGAAGAAGTATAAGATTTTGGTGGTGGCGAGTATTCATCAGCCGTCGACGGCGACGTGGAGGTTGTTTGATAAGTTGATGTTGTTGAGTGGGGGGAAGGTGGTTTTTAATGGCGGGGTTGAGGGGGTGAAGGGGTGGTTTGAGGGGTTGGGGTATGAGGTAAGTCCCTATCGTTTAATCCGACCGTGTAACATTGGGGGACCAAGAAGCTGACATGTCACCTCTGCGTGTAGATGCCACTCTACACGAACCCAGCCGAATTCGTCATCGACCTCATCAACACGGATTTCTCACAGGACAGCACCACCGCCCAGCAACGCCTCACCCACCTCCACACGTCATGGGCTACCTCGCCCGCCGCAGCCTCACTAGCCACCTCCATCCAATCCTCCGCTACAAACACCACCAGCGTTCCCACGCCCCCCTCATCCTCTCCAGCCTCCACCAAAACCCACGCCTCCCCCCTCCACACCACCCTAACCCTAACCCACCGCTCCTTCCTAAAATCCCACCGCGACATCGTCGCCTACGGCATCCGCATAGCCATGTACCTCGGCCTCGCGGTAATGATGGGCACAGTCTGGCTGCGTCTCTCCCCCACGCAATCCAACATCCAAGCCTTCACCAACGCCATCTTCTTCGGCGGCGCCTTCATGTCCTTCATGGCCGTCGCCTACATCCCCGCGTACCTCGAAGACCTCGCCATATACAGCAAAGAGCGCGCGAACGGGCTGTACGGCCCCACGGCGTTTATGCTGAGTAACTTTGTCGTGGGTGTGCCTTACCTCTTTCTCATTACCATACTGTTCAGCGTGGTGAGCTACTGGTTAGGCAATTTCCGGCCCGGAGCCGACGGCTTCTGGATGTGGGTGCTGTGGTTGTTTTTGGATTTACTCGCCGCGGAGTCTCTAGTCGTTCTCCTCTCCTCGCTCATACCTATTTTTGTTGTTGCGCTGGCGGCCACGGCGTTTGCGAATGGCCTTTGGATGTGTGTGAATGGGTTTATGGTTCAGCCGGATACGCTCAATGTGTTTTGGAGGTATGTTTTTCATTATATCGATTATCAGGCCTACGTCTTTAGGGGTATGATGGTCAATGAGTTTGGGAAGAGGAGTTATGAGTGTGAGAGGTTGGAGGGCGGGGGGTGTCAGTGTATGTATCCGAGTGCGTTGCAGGATCAGTGTTTGGTGGATGGGAAGGCGGTGTTGGCGGTTTATGGGTTTGGGACGGGGCATACGGGCAAGTATGTGGGGTATTTGCTGGTGATTGTTGTGGTGTATAGGTTGTTGGGGTGGGCGGTTTTGTATTTGCGGAAGCATTGAGGAGGGTGGCGATGGTAATCCTTGTTTTGCGGTCTTTGCTTGGATCCTCGTAGATTAGACGAGACAAAACTGCTGTCGTTTCCGGATTCCTTTCTCCATCTCCTCGATTATCTCTCCATTCATGATCTCGTCCTTGTACACCTGGCCTAGAAGAAGGTAGTTCTCGCCCCGGCGGCGTAGCGCAACTGGCGTGTATGCTCCTTCTAAAACCACGATAAGATCTCCTTCTCGTAGACAGACAGAGCCGAGGCCATAAGATCCATCCTTGATACGAAACATTGCCCATTTGTGGAAGAAGCGGGACACAAGAGCTCCAAAGACTTTCCAACCAGTTCCAGCTTGACAAAAATCGTACCTGATTGTGCCATCTTCTGTTACATGTTTGGAAAGTACATATAGCAGTCTGATCCAATCCAAGAAACTCTGTAAGTATTCCGTCACGTTTTCTTCGTCGGCTTCGTAGTAACTGAAGTGGTGCCTGACCTGGCCTCCAGTCAATGTTCGTGCCATAGAGATCATGGCGGGACTCAGATCGCTGCCCGTTGGGGCTTCTTCGGATACCTCGTGCCGCCAGTAGTCGAGAATTATATCGACCGGGTATTCCACAATAAGCTTCGTACTTTCAAGTCGACCTACATAGCTGAGGTCTGAAACGTTTTCTTGCACTATGATCGTGCAAGAAACAGTTGCATATACTGAACCGCATACCACGAGTTGCCGGCCATGTGGCTGTGTGATACTCTCGTTCGGCTCAGTAAATTTATATGTTCCGTATGCGCTGGACGTAGGGGACAGCCCACCCATCATCTGATCATATGATACAGCCTGCCACTGATCCCATTGAGGAACCCACGACTCGTATCCTGGATGGCCGTCGTAGTCCGGGTCATGGTAGACGTGGCCAAAGATTGCAAGATCGCTAGTCCATCTAATAATTGCTGTGGCAGCGTCGTAGAACACCTCTGCGACAGACTTTTCGTAATCAATGGGAATAACGGTCCTTTCGTCGCCTAGCTCTCTCAGCCCAAGTATACCATATACCTTGTCTCGAGGATCCGTAGCATGCCAACGTCTATAAGTGCTGAGAGCTTGTAAAAGACGACATTTGTCCGACGACAGTGGACCGTTCGTTTTCCAGGCATAAGTCACGGGGGTTGTAATTGAGACGGGCCTTTGGTGTCGACTATACTTCATTTCCCAGCTCGCTAGACGAACTGCGGTATACTTGGAAAGTTCTTCGGTTCCCCAGTAGTATACCAAATCAGCTGCTAATCTGAACTCTTGTATACACCACATGCGACGAAACCAAGGATTAGAAAAAAAGGCTTGCAGTGAATGCCATGGTACGGAAGCGGTGAAAGCTGCGCCTGCGTCTGGTAAGCGCCAATTGGAATCGTAATCCGTTGGATCACCATCGATCAATTCCAAAGATTCGAAAAGACGCTTAACCTTTGAGGCGTGCTCATCCTCGTCGTTGCCAAGCCAAACAACGACGCGTTTGGCGCGAAGATAGATTGAATCCATGCGACGGACTTGCGAACTCTTCTCTTCATCGTCAGACTGAGCGATGCACAGTGCATCTGCCCAGACAATGCGCACCTCATTTGTCAGCCGCAACCTCACAAGCGCATCGTAGAGGCTCGCCGTCACCAAGTGCGTTGTACCGTTACAGAGGATCTCACGTCGGTCGTTTGAGTCGCCCCAGCAGTAGGAGAGTGCTTCATATGCGGGATTATCGTCGACCTCGTACTGGCGAAGCTCGCATGAGACTGGGAACTCAGGGGTTTGAGAGGGCAGTATGTGTAGCAGGCGCATCTGACTATTCGATAAACGCGTCGGATAGAGCGTCTCCATCGCGCAGAAGCGCTCGCAGGTCGAGCGACTGGTGAGTAGGAGACGATGCACAATCTAAGCAAGCGCAGCAAAAGAAGAGAAGCCAAAATGAGTAGAACAGAATCAGATGAGATAGCGGATATTCTTCCCTGTGCGCTTCTGTAGAACGGTGCAACTTTGATGGATGTATTGTCTCAAGCGGGGTAAAATGGATGCCTCAAGGGGTGGAAGCAGCGGCGAACAGAGGCTAGCCTGTTCTCGGCCTAGCCCGTAACTCCCCACTTTCGTGCATCCGGCCCGTCGATGCCCAGGAGGTCCCTCACTGGACAGCTCTTGCAAAATGACTCATTCTGTATCATGTCGCTACTGCGTATGGTCTCATAGGTTTGCACTCCCAGAGTGACTGCCAACATCGGAATACCGTGCAGCGATGATGTACAAAAGGCGCCGTGGCTGCCTCATCGTGCTTCCCAGTCATCTCTCAGGTTTTCCAGGCTCCGCACCACATACGTCGGTCAACACAGTATAGCGATATCAGCTTACCAGCATGGATACCTACGATCTTACGGATGAGAAAGGTCTTCAGCAATACCTCGAAGCGAACCAATTCCCGGCAGCCAGCGTGCAGCTCCTCTCAGGAGGCAATGCAAATTACGTCTTCCGCGTTACGAAGCATGACGGCTCCACGAGCATCTTCAAGCATGCAGAGCCTGTCCTGAAACTCAACAAGGACTTTGCACTCGATCCTGCCCGCATGGATTATGAGGTTCGGATTCTAGAAACACTATCTTCCACGAAGAGCCCTCTACCCACGAGCCTTACGAGCTCGAACGTACACGCGGCGAGGTTTTTGAGCTACGATCAATCAGAAAAGCTGCTCCAGATCGAGGATGGCGGGCGTCGTAACCTGAAGGACGCTTATACGGACCCGAAGCTCGACATATTGTACATTGGAGAGCAGCTTGCGACATGGCTCGCTGCCCTGCATGTATCAGCAAAGAACTTCTCGCTCGCTTCAGCGCACGAAGGACAAGACAGCAGCAACAACCCCATTGCTGTCAACGTATACCGATACTCTTACAACGATCTGCACACCGCGTTGACGCAGTTCGGTCACGACCCCCAGCTTGCTGATCTTGTCAACGAAAAATTCGGCAGTCTACTCGCAACAGACGACGAGTGCCTATGCCATGGCGACTTCTGGCCTGGAAACATCCTCGTCCGGGACCTTGAGTTGCAGCCGGTTGGGCTGACCATCGTGGACTGGGAGATGGTGCGTCGTGGCACCAGCGCAACGGATGTCGGTCAATTCGCTGCTGAGGCATTTCTTCTTGATCGCTTTCGAGGTGGTAGAGGGCTACTCGGTGTGTTCTTGAATGCATATATCGCAGCTCGTGGGCATACAGAGGTGCTCGGCAAGGCGTGGCTAACGAGGATGGTGGTGCATTGGGCAGTTCACATTGCATTCTGGCCGACTAGAATTGCGTGGTCTGATCAGGAAGATACTGGGTCGCTCGTTCATATTGGCGTTGTCACTTTGCAGAATGTTCTGAATGACGACTGGGAGAAGGTCCTGCAGTCACCGCTGTTAAGAGACGTGAAGGAGAAGTACGCCACGCTACTGTCACGACCATGAGGTCTTTCAACGATGAAAACAATTCTTCAATGTTTGGTGTCGAAAGCACCTGTGTGGGCACCCTCATTTCTAAAGATGTTAGTTACTATCCTGCCAGCAGACCCCACTCTACTGATCACATGCTGAGGGTGTGAGGGAATTTGTACCTAATCATAAGAACCTTCCACTCATTCCTTATATCGCTTAGTCAAGCAAACAAAAGCTTTCACGCGGATATATAAGGACTCATCATGGTCACCACCAACTATCATCTACCATGTCATCGACCAACGCGATGTCTACACCACTCTCACCCGACGATATCTCTCGAATCATAGGCCGACTCAAGACTGCGCTTGGAGAGATAGCACAAGTGCTACTTGAAGATATTTTACCACGTATGTCGACAACACAAGTAGCCCAGACACAAGCCCATGTGTCAAAGATCGTGAACGGACTTGTTCGTGCCTTTATACAGGAAACCAACAACGGGAACGAGCATCCATCACTATTGCAGCAACTGTACACCATGCTGCAACAAGACGTCGCACCTGTAACCCCTTCAGATGTACAGGTGTCAGACGAACGGTTGCTTGCTATCGTTGATAAAGTTGAAAGCTGGAGGGACTTGGTGCAAACGGGAGCGTTTGAGTGCCCGGACGAGCTAGAAGCCGCGTTGTTAGCGCTGAACTTAGACGAACAATCGTAGAAGGTACTGGTGTTGAGGACAATGAGATTGGCAGGAGGGGGGTTTGGGGTTATGGATGTGATAGGAGGGAATTAGACGAATAAATAGCAGCCAATATTGGCATAGGTAATACAGGTAGTTGGGATGCTGGTTCGAACTCTCGATAGCTATAGGCTTGATGGTTACTCTGCTCTTCGTCTCCAGTGGTCCACAATCGGTAATGCGTCCTGATCTTCCTAGCAACTTTCTTTCGACTTCAGCAATTACTGCACCTTCTTCGCCCCCGATGCAATCTCAATGTCCGCTAATGCAGCCTCTCGCCAGAACCAGACAGCGGCAAGCGTCGCGCCCGGGCCACCACCACCCGTCAGTGCCGCGATAACAAGAAAGCTCTCGAAGATATTTTCGAGCGTCGCCTCTCCGTTCCTCATCCGCTGCACATCACAGACAGCGACCCAGGACGGGATGATGTACATTAATCCAATGATGAGCCAATCCCACTGGAAGATGAACAGCAAACCCCAATCAGCGTTCCTCTTCCAGGTATAGGTACTGGGCAAGAAGACGCGGGCGTACGTAACATCGGGGTCTGTCGATAGGGAAATGCCGCGGATGGCGTACCAATGAGTTGCCACACAGAGAACGAAAAGGAGAGCGTAGAGAACTTTGAGATGTCGAACGTCTGCATTCTTGTTGCTCGCGGTAACGGCTGTCGAGGTACCGGAGAGGGAGACGAGCCACATAGGAATGCCGGTAAGGATGGGCGTGATTTGCCAGAATGCTAGGAGGTTCTGCATCCTGTCTGCGCTTTGGCCGGGAAGGAACAATGCGACCGTAGGCACAACGTAGAACAGGAAAACGCCCGGTAGGATCACGCGCGCGTAAGGCAGCGGGACAGTGCGTCCGCTCTCAAAGTAGGCCTTGGGCTGCGAGACGCGATGGAGGACTAGCCACCAGATAGTGACGATGCAAGCTGCTCCAACATTCTGATAGACGAAGGCCCAGATGGAAATACTGCATAATGTCAGCTACGTCCGATTTCGCCAGATCTTACATTGGCAGACTTACTATTTCAGCCAACTATTCTGATTTCGCTGCCGGTACGCCTCAACATTGTTGATCGTGACAAGGGCCGTGATTTGGATGAGGAAGTAAAGTTGTTGCCAATAATATGGCTCGTTCCATCGCATCGGGCCGGCTAGGAAGGCAGCAACCAGGAAAGACAGACCTTCGTCCACCAGATAGATGCCTGTGTAGTTCTTCTTGAGAAGCACACCATTTGGGAAAACGCCCGATGCTGCTGTTTCTAGAAAGCCCACAGGAATATCATTCATCGCGGTCGTGATGCGCATGGTATAGAACCCGAGCGCGGCCAACACGGCCATGAGAGCCAGTAGCGCATTGTTGTTTGGGCGGCCGACGTTTGCTGTTGATGTTGCCATGGTGGGCTGTTGCTGACGCTCAGGACATCTGGTGTGTAGTGGCAGACAAGTTTGGTTTTATTCGTCGTCCCGCGTAAGTGCTCGGCCTCACTTGGCAAGCTTCGCCCTCTCCTGTTAAACTCAATACGGAGAATACGACACCTATTA